TTGTTGTTAATACTGCGTAGCTCTGTAGCTCAGTGGTTGGAGCAGTCGCCTCGCTTGTGAGATACCTTGGTTCGATCCCAGCAGGACAAAACGTTGGGTAAGTTTCTTACTCGATGTACCTGTTCAGTAATTAGGAAAGTGGTTGTTTGTTGATCGGTGATCACTTTTCCAGGGATAATAATTCCTTTCGAATAAATAATCACTGCTTGTTGGATACTGCTGTGCTTAATTGGCTTGAGCATCTTGTCCATTAAAATCCTTATCTGCACTAAATAAAGTTGACGTGCACTCCGTTTTATTCAGTGAGACGTCTCGAAGACGAGATTAGCGGCTGCATCAAATGCAAATATAGTTATTGTCACTGCAAAGTGTTCTGAGGAGGTAATCCTTAAGAAAATGGGTGACGATTTGCTCCAATATCCATGAAGTGATTGATTAACTTTGTTTGGAGAATCTTGGCAAGGATACGAGGAAGTAACTCTTTTCTCTTTTTAAATAGTGACATGGCGTCTTTCCAGTCGAATTGAGCAGGCGGAGATACTCCATTTATCTTATTGTCAAGGAGTCACCTCTGGCAATTAAAAGTTCAACAACTGGAAGAGGAACGCTCAGTTACGCTTGGTGCCTCAAGTGTTATTGCTTAACAGTGCTTCTCTCCAAGAATTACATTTCCTACTCTCAATAATTTAATCTTTACCCTTCTTCTCATCTCTATAATTGATATTAAAAAAACGCGTTTCAATGTTTACCAACGAATTCAATTTCTTATGAGATGCCACGAAGGGCTTTTAGATACATTTAGCACTCGCATTCCCTACGGGCGTTTCACAGATGTCTGAAATCTCTTTCAGACGTCTCCTCGACAAGAATGCAACATGTGTTATTTGCGAGGATTATCTCCAGTATGTTCCCTGGTAGTCTAGTGGTTAGGATTCGGCGCTCTCACCGCCGCGGCCCGGGTTCGATTCCCGGTCAGGGAAGCAAGTTTTTTTCCAATTGGATCCGGAAAATTGCTCGTGAACAAAAAACAAGCATATATTACCTCCAAACATGTCTGCGCTTCACAACGAAAATAGCAGTAATCCTTGCATTTGATTTAGCCACATATAACGTCTTAGAGACGATACAAAACGCTTCACCGAATATAGATCAACGTGAATACACTGTAAATTTTGTAGGCAAGTGATCCCTGTTTTACTCAAAAGAAAATTACCGGTAATATTTTTCTGTATTAATGACACAAAAAAATAACCACAATCAGCTTATTGAATTTCTGGAATTGTTTTGAGAATAAAATAATTCAAACTTCCCTGTCACTTGCGCTTTGTTACCACACTTGAACTGAGCTGCTGAGAATAAAGATTTTTCTTAGTACGTGGTTGTCCGGGAGAATAAAATAATAATAGAAATAATAATAATAATCCTTGCATTTGATGTAGCGCTTTTTACGTCTTTTAGACTTCCCAAAACACTTTACAGAATATACTGTGAAGTGAGTTGATGCCTCTGAAGTACTTGAATAGCCTAACACTAAGTTGTGCGTAAAATAGATGAATTGATGACACTCACAACGTTGTATGGTGTATATCGGTAAGCAGAGATTCCTGTGATTCACTCAGCAAGTCAGGCCGCTGAGCTCAATAGTTTAGAGCGTGGTGCTAATAACTCCTAAATTTCAATCACCGTACGGGCCACAATTTTACTTGCTGCCCATTATGTCACATTAGCAGCAGTGCTGGCAATAATAACAATAATCCTTGCGTTTGATAAAGTACTTCATCACGTCTTCATATTATCTAAAAGCGCTTCACAGAATAGGATAGTAAATTTACCGCATGCTTCGTTGGCAAAAAGCAACAGCGAGTTGCACATGTTAATGTGCCACAACCAGTCGTGGATTGAAGTGGCCAATCTTTATTTTTATTTATTTATTATGATTATTATTGTTATTCAAGGGATTATTATCCCAGAAAATACATTCGCCAATTGACTAAGAACCGGGTATAATTCTCGCAAGATAAACCGGTAAAAAAAATTATGAAAACCTTACCGTTATGAAGCTCATCTGAAATTATACGAAATAATATTAATAATGTTATTATTTAAAAATAATTCATTTTATAACCCAAAACAAAAGCTGGGGACAAATCACCGTTCCCATACATGGACTCTTCAGTGTGAGAGCACTTTAAAATAAAGTGAACATCGAAATGTAAATCAATACTTCACAAAAACACTGATGTTCCCACTCGAGGCTGCTGGTTTTATGGCTTGTACTCATTCGAATAAGGAAATCGGCAACGTAACAATAATAATAAACAGAATATCTGATTAAACAAAACAGTGTAACTCAACATATTCACTATATATTTTGTGAACAATTTGACCTCTAAGTTTGGGATCAGTCTCACTGCTCTGCTCTGTCTCTAACACTGGGATCAGTCCCTCTGCTCTCCTCTGCTTGTCTCACATTACAGCTTTGCTCACCGAACACACAGCGACATATTGACGACTGGAGGCACATCACAGCCTCTCACACGCGCACCCACAGCGCCACCCTCAGAATTGGGGGCACATTAGAGCGTCTCACACCAACAGCTCGAACTCAGAACTGGGGCCATACAGTCTCAACCTCTCTCTTTTTCACACACACACAGACTCTCTCTCTCTCACACACACACACACACACTCACATACACACAGCGTCACCCTCATCACTGGGGGACACTTCGGGCTCTCTCACACACTGCCGCAGTTCCATCCTCAGCACTGCGAGCACATTACAAGCACTCAAAAATACACAATTTCAGCTCCACTGTCAGCATTGGGTGACCACTATAACCTCTCAAACACCCACTTCTCACCAGGGGCACTGGGTGCACATGACAAGTCCAAACCCTCTCTTTTTCTCTCTCTCTAACACACAAACACAGGCACACCACACACACAGAGCTACCCGCAGCTCTGACCACACATACAAAATGCCAAACTCAGCACTCGAGGCACACTACCAGTGAACAGAACAGCCACTTATATTGTCGTGATCTGAACTGTATTCAAGTCTCACTAATTTTCATTGCGCTCAGCTGTCTGCCATGTTGGAGCTCATGACGATTAATAGTATACAAACTAAACGCTTATTTTTCTATGCAAGCCACCTAAACATGGGAATTTCCATTTAGTGGAAATAATATTATTATTATTATTATTTAGTGGAATGGATTGCGCACCTTCTCCCTGGAAGGATGCATCCCGTTTAACCAATTACAGAGAGAAAAGATGAAAATTGGCAAGACTGTGCACTGAGTTACTGCTGGATTATAACCAACTAAATCCACTGGGCTTGCTATTGAGACCACTGTCTAAAAAGCATTCACAGCGTCCAGTTTAACCAATCCGAGAATAACGTATTTGGGTGTGGGGTAAGTGAGACTCTTTGGGACTAAACTGGCAACAGAATTAGAGAATCGTAGAATGTTACAGCACAGAAGGAGGTAATTCAGCTCGGGCTGCCTGTTCCTGTCCCTGTGCAGGGTCACTGAAAGAACAGCTAATTATCTTCCAAGGGTAGAGTTTCCCAATGAGGTAAAAGATGGGAGGCTCCAACCATCGAATGTTTGACAGAGCACGGCACCCATACCGGTCCCGAAACGTAAATTTCCAAAAATAAGTTCGGCTTATACGTCAAGGATATGCATATTGCACACAGTTGATTCTAGGGCATCAGCGTTGCCTGACACCCATCAGAGTAGTTCACATGAATTCTGATTGACGGTTGATTTCTTTGTTAGACCGGGTAGCGTAGGGATCATCCGTCTCGGAAATATTGATTTTAAATGTTTAGGATTAATAAAAATCGTTGCATTTGTTATAGCGCTTTTAACGTCTTCTCGACACTCATTGCGCTTCACAGAACAGACTGTGAAGTGAATTACCGTAAATTTGTGATCGAAACGCGGCAGCCAATTGCACACAGCAGTGTCCCACAAACATTCGTGGATTGAAGTGCCCAATTTATTACCGTTTTTGTTTTGGAGGGATTATCAGTAATAACCGGCTAGCCCGAGGTAAACAAAAGACCTCCTCTTTTGTCGAGGGAACGCGACAATGTAAAAACAATTTGTTTGCTGAAGACTTCAGCTGCCCAATCCACAGGGGCATTTTCCCACTTAATGGTTTTGGATTTGCAAAGAGCTCATTTGTCAGGGTTACCTGTTGGCGAGCCGCCTTGAGGGTATCCGGAACTGACGTCCTCAAGGGAGCAGTTGTTTGGGTTCATGTTGGACATGATAGATTTGAGAGGAATGTGGTGTACAGGTTCGAAGGTGTGGAGGAAGGGGTGAATAGCGGCGGAAATGTGAGAAGATATTCAGCAGGAGGTGACAATTTGCAATGCCATTGGTAGCATGAGTGAGCATTATCACTTCTGCCACTGAATTTCAGTGCTGGCGTTCGTAACCGCTTTGTTTTACGCTGAAAATAACAGGCATGTATTAAGGAACAGCCCTCGTCTGCCCCTGACCCCAACTCTCAGGGTCACTATCTTGCTTGAGGTGTGCTAGAAAGTTCCAAGTTGTTGTTGTTGTGCGGCCTTTTTGCTGTACGATTTGACTGAGCGACGTGGCTGTAATCGCGAGCAATGGAGTCCGAGTGGCTGCAGTCACTGAGCGAGAGAAGCGATAGTTGCTCTCACTATCCTCAACTCCGCACTGACACCATGATGACCAGCTCAGCACTAACACCATGGTGTCCAGCTCAGCACTAACACCATGGTGACCAGCTCAACACTAACACCACGGTGACCAGCTGTGACTGAACTCAGTGTAGGTATAGTGAGGAGGTGTGAAGAGCTTCTGTTTTCATTCTACCTTTGTTTGACATCAGGATGGTCTGTGTGATTCGCACGTTCTCAGGCTGAGAGCTTTTTTCAGGCTGTTTTTTGCCAATGGTAAGACATTATTTAATAGTTGATCCTGCGTTCATGTAGGAACTGATACAAATTTCCTTTGAAGTTGTAAAATTTAATAAAGGATTAGCAAGCTTATGCATCATCAAAATGGTACATTTCATCAAATCAAATTAAAACTTACTACGGGTTAGTGAAGTTCACTGCAATTGGTTAATCGCATCAATATTGTGCCTTTGATATAGGAATCGCTTGTGCTTTACTTCCCATCAATTCATTCTGATTAAATAACACAGGCCCTTACATCAACATCTAACAAAGCTGCAGCTATGCACGATCACTCTCTACTTTCATACACTTTCCTCGTCTTTCTCCCTCTCTCTGTCCTTTCATACTCTTTTCTCATCTTTCGGCGTCTCTCGGTTACTTTCTCTCACTCACTCTCTTTACCACCCCATCGCCACTCACACACTCTCTCGCCGCTTTCACACTCTTTTCCTCCATGTTTCTTTCCCTCGCTCTCCACCACAATCTATCTCTCAGTCACACTCTCACTCTTCCCGATCTCAATCTCCCACTTCTACCCCTGTCTCTCTCCTTCTGTGGCACAACTGTTTCTTTCTCTGTGAGACGCTCTCTCTCAATCACTCTCTCCTTCTCTCACAAAACCCACACACCCTGCCCCTTTTGTTTCTCAATCAAAACTATAAGTATACGCCTCTCACAATCACTCTCTTCCCCTCTCTCTCTATTACATTCTGTCACTCCCGCTATTTCCCACACGCACTCTCCATCTGCCCTCTCACACAATACTTGCATCAGCCTCTGACTCTCACTGAGTCTCTCTCTCTCTCGGTCTCTCTTTTTCAGTCACTCACTCAGTATCTCCCTCAGTCTCATTCAATCACTCAGTCTCATTCGATCACTCTCGTTCACTTTGTCTCACTGAAGTTCTCTCCCTGTCTCAGTCCTTCTCTGAATCTCTCACTCCGTCCCTCACATTCAGTCTCTCTATCCCTCACTCCGTCTCCCTTTACCTTTCTCTCATACAGTCTCTGAATCAGTATCTCTCCCTTACTCAGTCTCTGCCTCACTCATTCTATCTCAGTCTCTAACTCAGTCTCTATCTGCGTCAGAAAGACAGGTGAAATGAGAGCCCCATTGAAGTGAGACTGAAGCTGGATATCAATATAAGTGATGATGGGTTGATAGGGCGAGGAGCAAAAGCAACTCATGGCCACTGGCCTCTGCATTAAACCCTGACTGTGGCGTAGACAGGACCATCGTTCTCACGGGCTTGACGGCTTATCTCATTCCTGTTTCCTAATGCCAGATTGGCGTAGATGATATCAGCGTCCTGCAAACAGGCAAACAATCATCACATCTGCTGAAGATCAGTTAGAAATCCGACTCCCGCCAACCCAACCAACCCGAACTCGCCGACTCACAGCTCCGATATGTGATTGTCTTTACCCACCGAACCCCCCCCCCCCCCCCACTCATTCGCGGATTTCTGTAAGTGGGAATTGATCCCGGACATTTCCTCTAGTAAGTTAATAGCAGCTAAATTTATGATAAAATCTTGTATAAAAAGTTTCCCCTGAGGTGAATGACGTTCTTTCAATTTAAAATTTATGTAGAACAAACAGACGTACAGACCCGCACAAACACAATAAACACACATTCAGACACATACACACACATATATACACTCAAGCATAAAGACACGCAAATACTGGCAAACAGACAGACACAGACACACATATAGACGGACAGACACACACAAAAATAAACATATGTTTTTCACGGTGCGAGAACGGCTCAAAATGGTTTACAACAATTATAATCAATCATAGGAATTTTATAACCAAAATGAAAAGCTGCAGCCAAGTTGTGCAAGGAAACGTCCTGTAAATACACAATCATTCCTATATGCGGTAAATCCTGTGAAGCGCTTTAAGACAGCCCCGTCATGTAAAATTATGTATTGCGAATGCAAGGATTCTTGTGATTTATATGAAATGAACGAAAGCATTTTGTCGGCCAGGTTAATGGGAGATTCTCCCACCTCTTTCTCAGTAGTGCGAAGGCCCTGACATTGGGGATAAACCCATGAATTTCTACCTCATGCGAGAGGGCTGTCGGCTGAGCCAGAGTGACGAAGAGCACCAGCTGAGTTGAGCCATGTTAGTAGAAAGCCTGAGCGAAACTGACATTGCGTCTGAGCTGGGCTGAGCTGGGCTGAGCCAGGCTGACACGGCTGAGCCGGGATGACTCAGTGTTACGCTGAGCTGAAGAGGGGCCTGAGCAAGGCTGATACAGGGTTGATTTGGGCTGATACAGGGTCAATGATTCCGTGACTACTCACCGCTGGAGGCACCGAGCGTGTACCAAATCTCACCGTCGCGTCTAAAACAAACGAAAACGGGATTTATCAACAGCACAATTCAATAAACTCACGGCTACTTAGTATTATTGAAGATATCAATGAAAACATTGAATATGTATGAATGATCAGGACATGCATAATTATTAGAGGAACAGTAAAATGTTAATAATTATTTCATTTGAAATAACACCTTATGGTGACCTCAAGAGTCCCAAAGGGTTCATGGTATTCATGGTGTAGAGCAGTTGCTGTTTACTTTGTGAGTGGAAAACGTCAGGTGCACGTGCCCAGCATCCCCACAAATGCACACACACAGTGAGTGAGCGATATTTTTTTTGGCGGATTTTTGGCCAGAGAGAGATTTTTGGTCGGGAGTGACAAATTCTCNTTTTTGAATAACGCCGTGGGATCTTTAATGTCCACTTGAACAGGCAGAAGTGACCTAAGTTTATACTACTACTACTAAAATAATAATCCTTCCGCTTGCTATGTGGGCGACTGGCACACGGCTGACCAGGACCCTTTCTCATCAGCTACTTTCCTTCTGGGCTCAAACCAAGGACAACTATTACTCACATGTGACGTCGTTTTGTGGGTCGCCTCCTGTGGTTGCATTCCTGAGAAAACAACAAATAGAGAGGAGATAGCGATAAATTCACTGCTGTTTTGCTGATAATATTCACAGAGCTCCAAACTGGACTTGTCACCGGCTAACCACCAACTATTATCTCTCATCTGGGGGAAGGACGCGGATGCGGCACTGACAGAATTACACTTGAAGATGCAGCACAGACACGGGGGGTCGATGGCCGCCTGTTGTGCTCTTGCTGTCTCTGGTGCTACAGTTGGGAAGGCTGACGGAAATTTGCCAGAAGGTGAGCTCAAAGTTGATTAAACGGCGGAGCTTGGTAACAGGTTTCTGTGTGTCATACGACGCGTGGACACAAAGTAGTATGTGTGTGTGTTGGATTAGGCGGGTGGGGTTCGGGGTGGCAATCAGGTGTCTGACCGTGGAAATCCATCAACATTGTTGTTAGTATCCACAACACACGATGAATTCCAGACATGCCTCCTACACATGGGATTTCCTTAGTTTCTAATGATTGAGCAGTAAATCTGCAAAACTGATCACCATGAGCACAAGCCATGGGATGGCAACAGTCAGAGTTTGGCGACCTCGAAGTGTACATTCCGTTAACTGACGGGGTCCTACAAGCTAAAACCCCAGAGCTTGCTCCTGGGAGCTCTGTCTGGGAAACTGCCACTGCTTATCGAGTTAAGACCACCCAACACGTTAGGGATTTGTCTTACAGGGCAGCACGAGTTTAGTGGACGAATTCATTGCTCCCAATATCTGGTCTGCCCTCCGATTCTTGCTGATTTGTGTTGGTGTGATGACCAGTGCAGATAATCGGCGGAGAGATCTGGGAATGGGATTAAATTGGGGTGCTCTAGTGGCATGCGAGCATCAGCATAGACAAGATGGGGTGAGAGCCTAAATGGTATTAATACAGAGAGCTGCAGTGGGGACACCACTTTCTCTGGAAGGATTAGGAGAGAGCATGGAATAGAGGAGAAAAGTACTGACCTTTCCTCTCTTTGACTTTTCTGTTTACCTGCAAGTACAGAGTATAATAAGTGTGAAATATACATCAGTACACGTTTATGTTATAAAAAAATAATAAGCGGGCTTTCATCCAGCGTCAAAAGCCCTTGATAGGCAATAATCCACACTCCAAGCCCCACAAACGCCATCGGTAGACGTGACTTCAGCCACTCCGGCCATCTCCTTTTAAGTGCATTCCAGATTCCTTCAGATTTGCCCCTCGCTACCACCCTCACTCACCAAGACCCATCACTTCAAACGTCTCTAATATTATTACTATTCAGTGTAATGAACACTGTAAACCATTGTTTTTTTTGGTTATTATTCTCTGTAATATCTTATCATATCTCATTACTTTGTGTAACATTATCTGCTGACTAGTGGAATATGACAAGATTTTAGTACAAAATTTAACAGAACAAGATCTGTTCGGATAGTCTCCTCCTACGTTGGTTCAACTTGCTAAAACCAAACAGTATATTGTGATAAGATAAACAAAAGCATACCAATCTAACACAGAACCGTCTAATCTCTCCCAATAATAAATTAGTTGACAAACACCGAATACTGTTTCGGTAGCCTTGTTCTCCGGTCCCCATCTGCACTCGTTGACACTAAAGTTTAACAATACGCAGTGGTTGGTTCCGTTGTTGTCCTTAATTTATTCCCAATATTTGTACACTATATTGACTGATATTCAGGGCCACTTACGTCTCTTATTAGCACAGAATCCCAGGATAAAAACGGTTATCACTATCGCCGTGACAACACCCGCAACCAGTCCTTCAATGTGCAGCCAGGTCAAGTTTACTGGAGAAGGAAATATACAAACAGTAATTTGTCGACATTAAAGAGCAAATTTGAGTGGAAAAACTCATCATTTTAATGACATCAGTTAGTTTGCGTCTCCTCCTGATGTGATGGAACAATGAAAAGTAACCATTTCGCTGTTCCAAAGAAAATAGATCTCGTTCCCATATTCTGTCCTCAAGAGAAAAGCCTCCCCTGACCCAAGGGAGGGGGAGATTAGTAGGGTCTCTTTGCATGAAGCAATGGTGACCCGTCAAGCAGCGGTAGTTCGGAATCGAGTCCAAATTTGATGGTGGTATCCAGTCGGCTCCCTGAGCCGGGCGGGTCTGCAGTATTCCAGGGCGTTGATATTGAAACTACAGTCCTGCCTGGCTCGTCGGCAAGAAGTTGCGCTGAAAATTGGTCTCTCGGAGCTGGGATTCTTCCAATTGGCTTTACTACTGCAGTCAATCTGAGCGGGTGGTCCTCGCCAGAGAGGAAGTGTTTGTGTACCCCATTGCGATTAATGATAAGCTATGTGGTGTATTTGGTTAAATAACAGCAACATTTAGCAGAAATTTCTGGGATCACCAATTCTTGTCTCACAGAATAAAAACACATTATAATGTGACGAAAGAGAGGGTCAGTAATAGCGTCTTTCTAACTGGAAAGGACGGAGAGTTTACATCCTGTCAGCCATGTGAGGATCACTCGGGAGTTTGGTTTGGAAACTGCTTTAGCACGGGGGAACACATCCGCCTAATCTCAAACACTCTAGCCAACACTAGGAGGTAACATGGAACTATGATCGATGGTGCAAAGTGTGGTTACAACAGAAGCTGCTGTCAATGGTCAAAATGCAAAAAGATAATATTGGAAGATTATACTCAGCCCTTACCACGCACAGGTATTCCTAATCTCTCGCTCTCTGGTGATGTGAACTGTCGTCTGTCAGTATATGTAGCATATATGCACGTGTAATTTCCTGCTGTGATCTCCGATGGGGTAAAAGTGGCCGTGTATGTATTCTCTGTTGCTGTTTGTGATATGATAAACTCGCCGTTTCTGTATAAAGTGAAATTGCTACCAGGATAATTCCCAGTGCACGAAATCTCAGCGCGTTCTCCTCTGGCAAACACCTGGGTATCCGGCTTCAGGGAAATGTTGGGTTTCTGGAGCGGATCTGGAATGAAAACACATTAAAGATAATCTCACAAAGGCTCGCTCTGTGGCATGAAAACAGTACAGGTCAGAGTAAAAGTGACCATTTGCTTGTTTCTCAGTCTGGAAGAGGCGTCAAGGCATGGGGGAGGAGTTAAGGGGCAGGTACAAGACAGAATCTAGTTAGTGTTTCTTTACACAGAGGGAGGGGGAGCAACGGCTGCAAGTGGCGTGGCCAGGGAGGGCGGAGCTGGGGAAACAGACAGTTTCAGCCTTGGATGGCAGGACGGGAATTCAGTATGAACCTCTCGCATGTTTTTCAGCAAAGATGGTGGAAATCGCTGTTTGAAGCTAGGATTGAATCAGCTAGGCTGGATACATTCAAGATATAGTAAAACATTCAAATGAGGGAGAATTACTGCAGGGTTTTGAAGTAAGTAACAGCAGCTGAACAGGACACAATGAGATGAGTTTGACAGCGGAATATCAGAATGAATTCCACGGCGATTGTTCTCTACACAAGTTCCTGAGCCAAGTTAGTTCGCAGTATTCCAGGGCATGGATGATGACAGCAGATACCAGTCGGGCTCATCTGCAGCGCATCGCACTCTGCTCCTGTTAACCTTGCAAACTGTAGCCCTGGCAGTTAATGTGGTGCTCGATGGACAAATGGCGGGAAAGCTTGCCAGTGGCCATATCAATAGGAAGCTATCTGCACAATCAGGAGGGTGTTGGGTGCGGTGGGAGGGTTGACTGGAGGGGAAATGGGTGAAAAGGAGGAGCAACGTGGGTAATGTGGACAGCGAGAACGTGGAGGAAGATGAAAAGGAGTCTGGGAGAATAGGGTGGTAAGAGAGTGTGGGGAGACCGATGGTGAGAGCGTGTTGCCAGATAGGATGCAAAGAGGTGGCAGAGATGAGGAAGAGAATGAGGCAGAGTGGGGTGGTTTCTGGAGATGAGTGAGAGAGTGGAAGAGAATGGGGCGTGATGGATGAGAGCGGGGAGAGGCAACGAAGAGGGGGTAGACGTGAGAGAGGGTTGAAACGTTGGCAGAACGTGTGAGGGGGGGGAGAGTGTGGGAGAGAGGCGGGATGGCGAGTGGAGGGTGAGGGGCTGAAGAGTGGGAGAAGTGGTGCAGTGGAATGTGTGGGGATGGAGAAAGTGGTCAAAATGGGTCACCAGAAGATAATAGGGAAACATGATCGAGCGTGTAAAGAATGCTTATCACAGGAGCTGTTTTAATGGTAAAAAGACAAACAGGTTATTGTTTGAGAATTTTCTCATCTCCTACCTATCACAGAGATTCCCGCTGCTTCGCTCTCTGGTGATGTGAACTCTCGGCCGTCTATTACTTTAGTATATTTACAGGTGTAGTTTCCTGCACTGATCTCCGATGAGGTGAATGTTGCTGTTTTGTTATTCTCTGGAACCGGTTGTGATGCGAGAAGCTCGCCGTCTCTGTGTAAAGAGAAATTGCTGCCGGGATAATTCCCAGAACAAGAGATCTCAACGCTGTCCCCTCTCGCAAACTCCTGGAAATCTGGATTCAGGGAAACTTTCGGTTTCTGGAGCGGATCTGGAATTAAAACAAAGTGAAGATAATCTCACAAACACTCGCTCTGTAACACAGATTACGGTTCAAATGAGAGTAAAAGTGTCCATTTCGTTGTTTCCCCGCATGGAGCAGGAGACCGGAGCAAGTGGTGGGTTTGACGAGCAGTTTCACTACAGACTCCAGCAAGTGCTAATTTACACAGAGGGAACGGGAGCAACGGCTGAGAGCGGAGTGGCCATGGAGGCCAATGATGCCGGGAACTGTGTAACATCGCGCTCCAACCTGACGGGATGACGCGAATTTAAACTGAACAGATCGTGTGATCTTCATCCATGTTTTAAACAACAGAATCAGGTCACAACCAGGGAATCAAAAGGAGAATTGAGGAGTATCGACTTCACACGCAGGAGCTTGAGATTGTTCATCTGGCTGTCTGAAGCTAGGATTGAATCAAATAATCTAGATACATTCAAGACCGTGTGAGACCTTCACATGTGTGAAATGGGAGTAGACGATTTTGAAGAGAACGGGGTGTGGGATGCAATGAGAGAGAAAGGAGTAGAAGGAATGGTAGAGTGTGAGGGGGTGGGAGGGAGGAAAAGGGATTAGAAGAGTTGTTCGGAGGAAATGAGGTTGTGGGAGGGTATCAGGTTGTGGAAGGGTATCTGGGAGGGGGATGGAGGGTGAAATAGAGGTTCTGTGAGGCAGTCAGTGTGAGGAAGGTTGTGTGTGCGAGGGAGTGAATGAGAAGAAGTGAGTAACGCAAAGAAACTCGTGTAACAAAGCGAGTAAAGGAAGATAATTATTTTGGAACGACAAGTTTCCAAGGTTGTGGGAAGCGCGCTGGCGCGTGGGATTGAAAGGAGTAGCTAGTTCCGAAGAACCGGCAGAGGCACGACAGGCCGAATGGGCTCCATTTTGATGCATAATACTAGGATTATATTAAGAAAAGTGAGGATGTGGCGGAACACGAGATCTCAGCGCTTTCCGCTCTCATAAACACCCGGGAATCTGGCTTCAGGGAAATGGCGGCTTTGTGGAACGAATCTGAGTTAAAACACAATAAAAATAATCTCACAAACACACTCTCTTTGACACGGAAACGGTTCATGTCAGATAAATGTGACCATTTGCTTCTTTCCCCGTCTGGATGTGGCTTCAAGGGAAGGATTTTAGGGGCAAGTTCAGGACAGACCCCGTCAAGTGTTTCGTTACACAGAAGGAGAGGGAGCAACGGCTGGGATCGTGATGGCCATGGGGGGCAGTTTGGCCGTGGATTGCGGTAATACACAGCTACAGCAAAGGATGGGATACAGGGAATTCAGTCTGAAACTCTTATGTGACATTCAGACGTGTTTTAAACTACAGGGTAAGATCACATGCAGGGGATCAAACGCAAAATTCAGGAGCAAACTTAACAGAGGGGAGTGAGATGGTGGTAACCATGGCCTAAACCGGGAGTGAATTCAACGAAAACAACATCTTGGATTTATATAGCGCACTCCACGACGGACGACGTCTCAGAGCGCTTTGGAGTTTAGGATCCCAGATAAACACTTTCAAGAGGAAGCCAGAGCTGCACATGAGGGAGAAGTCAATGAAAGTTATGGAGGGGAGTGAGCTTTTGGGAGGAAGTCGGAGTGAATTTGCGGGAAATATAGATGGTGTGGGGGGGAGAACTAGAAGGTAAATTGGGATGAGGAATATAATTTATGAGGCGACGGGGAATAGAAGGTTTGGGAGCCAGTGGGGGAGAGAGTGAAGAATGGATGGAAATTTGTGTCACTGAGCGGTTGGAACATGAATGAAGATGCATGTTTGTAGGTCGGGGGTCGAGTGTGAGGGTGGGAGTTGGGAGTGGACCTGTGATCGAGGCTAATATAAACCAGGGGCAGCGAACAATGATTTCACAGAATCGTGAGGGAAACAGAAACAGGTTATAATCTGAAATATTACTCAGCTTTTACCCCATACAGAGATGCGCACTTGCTCGCTGTCTGGGGATATGAACTCTCTTCCGCCCATGTGTGTACTATAATTACACCAGTAAGTTGCTGGACTGATCTCCGATAGGGTAAATGTTGCCGTTTTCTTATTCTCTGGAACTGGTTGTGATGTGATAAACTTGTCACTTCTGTACAAAGAGAATTTGCTGCCAGGATAATTCCCAGAACAAGAGATCTGAGCGCTTTCCCCGCTCACAAACACCCGGTATCCTGACGTCAGCGATATGATGGGTTTCTTTAGCGGACCTGAAACTAAAACACAATAAAGTTATTCTCACAACCACACTGTCTTTGACACGAAAACAGTTCATGTCGAATAAGAGTGACCATTTGCTTCTTTCTCCTTCTGGATGTGGCTTGATGGGAAGGATTTGAGGGGAAAGTTCAGGACAGACCCCGTCAAGTGTTTCTATACACATAAGGAGAGAGAGCAACGGCTGGGAACGTGATGGCCATGGGGGGCAGTGTGGCCGTGGATTGCGGTTATACACAGCAACAGCGAAGGACGGGATACCGGGAATTCAGTATGAAACTCTCATATGACATTCAGACGTGTTTTAAACTACAGGGTAAGTTCACATGCAGGGGATCAAACGGAAAATTTAGGAGCAGACTTAACACAGGGTAGTGAGGCGGTGGTAATTATGGCCTAAAGCTGGATTGAATTCAACAAAAACTACAACATCTTGGATTTATATAGCGCCCTCCACGCCAGACGGCGTCTCAGAGCGCTTTAGAGTTTAGGATCCCAGGACAGTATAGACACTTTCAAGAGGAAGCCAGAGCTGCACATGAGGGAAAAGTCAATGAAAGTTATGGGGGGATTGAGCCTTTGGGAGGAAGTCGGAGTGAGTTTGTGGGAAAAGTAGAGGGTGTCGGACGGAGAACTAGAAGGTAAATTGGGATGAGGAATATAAGGTATGAGGCGACGGGGAATAGAAGGTTTGGGAGCAAGTGGGGGAGAGAGTGAAGAATGGATGGAAATTTGTATCATTGAGCGGTTGGAACATGAATGTAGATGTGTGTGTGTGGGTGGCGAGTCAAGTATGAGGGTGGGAGTGGGAAGTGGACCTGTGATCGAGGCTAATATTAACCAGGTGCAGCGAACAATGATTTCACAGAATCGTGAGGGAAACAGAAACATGTTATGGTCTGAAATATTACTCAGCTCTTACCCCATACAGAGATGCTCACTTGCTCGCTGTCTGGGGATATGAACTCTCTTCCGACCATGTGTGTACTATAATTACACCAGTAAATTCCTGCACTGATCTCCGACAGGGTAAATGTTACCGTTTTCTTATTCTCTGGAACTGGTTGTGATTTGATAAACTTGTCACTTCTGTACAAGGAGAATTTGCTGCCAGGATAACTCCCAGAACAAGAGATCTGAGCGCTTTCCCCTCTCACAAACATCCGGTAATCTGGCGTCAGGGATATGATGGGTTTCTGTAGCGGACCTGAAACTAAAACACAATAAAGATAATCTCACAATCACTCTCTCTTTGACACGGAAGCGGTTGATGTCAGATAAGAGTGACCATTTGCTTCATTCCCCGTCTGGCTGTGGCCTCATGGGAAGAATTTTAGTGGCAGGTTCAGGACAGACCCCGTCAAGTGTTTCTTTACACAGAAGGAGAAGCAGCAATGGCTGGGACCGTGATGGCCATGGGGCGCAGTGTGGCCGTCGATTGCGGTAATACACAGCTACAGCAAAGGACGGAATACCGGGAATTCAGTCTGAAACTCTCATGTGACATTCAGACGTGTTTTAAACTACAGGGTAAGATCACATGCAGGGGCTGAAACGGAACATTTAGAAGCAGACGTAACACAGGGGAGTGAGATGGTGGTAATTATGGCCTAAAGCGGGATTAAATTCAACAAAAACAACAACATCTTGTATTTATATAGCGCCCTACACACCGGATGGTGTCTCAATGCGCTTTAGAGTTTAGGGTCCCAGGACAGTATAGACACTTTCAAGAGGAAGCCCGAGATGCACATGAGGGAGAAGCCAATGAAATTTATGGGGGGGGAGTGAGCTTTTGGGAGGAAGTCGGAGTGAGTTTGTGAGAAAAATAGAGGGTGTGGTAGGGAGAACGAGAAGGTAAATTGGATGAGGAATATAAGGGATGAGGCGACGGGGAATAGAAGATTTGGGAGCAAGTGGGGGAGAGAGTGAAGAATGATGGAAATTTGTATCACTGAGCGGTTGGAACATGAATGATGATGTGTGTGTGGGTGGGGGTTCCATTATGAGGGTGGGAGTGCGGAGTGGACCTGTGATAGACGCCATTATAAACCAGGGGCAGCGAACAATGATTTCACAGAATCGTGACGGAAACAGAAACAAGTTATGGTCTGAAATTTTACTCAGCTCTTACCCCATACAGAGATGTGCACTTCCTCGCTGTCTGGGGATACGAACTCTCTTCCGCCCATGTACGTTCTGTAATTACACCAGTAAATTCCTGCACTGATCTCTGATAGGGTAAATGTTGCCGTTTTCTTATTCTCTGGAGCTGTTTGTGATGTGATAAACTTGTCGCTACTGTACAAAGAGAATTTGCTGCCAGGATAATTCCCAGAACAATAGATCTGAGCGCTTTCCCCTCTCACAAACACCCGGTAATCTGGCGTCAGGGATATGATGGGTTTCGCTAGCGGATCTGAAATTAAAACACAATTAAGAAAATCTCACAAGCGTTCTCTCTGATCTTTTCTATGACAGTGAGCTTCAGGGTAGACAATGAGACCAGTCTCAGCCTGTGAGATATTTTCTTGTTGAGGTTTAATACGAGGCCAAATAGCTGACTGTTCTTAATGTGCGTCTTCATTAGACGCTGCAACTAATCAATTTTCTCTGATGTTAGGGTCAGGCTTTCTGTGAGCTCGGGGTCTTATCCATTCCCACGACTGCTGTTTATTTGGAGGTTACAGATCTCGTGGCAATGTTAAAAACCAGAAGAGAATTTGTATTGGTGACTTGGCCAAGAACCTCCAAAATAATTCGAAATTTAATGTAATCATTAATTTCACGGCTGTTCTCGGGACATGTGTTTTTCTCAAATTAATACTCATTATTTGTCATTGGTTTAAACTGCTCTTGTTTTGGGGAAATTCAGCACATTCGGAATTCCTCCCGACATAATATGAACAGCGCTGGTCACTTGTTGGTGTTGGTTTAAGGACCTGAGTACGTCACTGTTAGTCTATCAATAGTCATAAATCAATGGAAGCAGTGAATTGACACACCGTGTGATCAACCGCTCAAACTGTGCCCAGCCCCTCTACCTGAGATCAGACGTCCCGCCAATGTGCTCAAGCTTTGCCACTGTGCTCAGCTATCCCTGCTGTGCTCAGCTCCTCACCATGTGCTCTGCCCCTCCCCCTGTGCTGACCGTCACCCCTTGTGCTCAGCCCCTGCCCGTGTGTTCAGCTCGCCCCTGTGCTCAGCGCTACCCAGTGTGCTCAGCTCCTGCACTGTTCTCGGGCCATCCCCTGTGCTTGGCCCATCCAACTGTGCTCATCACAATGAGCTCACGCCTCTGTGCTCAACCCTCGTTACCTGCGCCCACCCTCTGTGTTCATCCACTGAGCATCCAATTTGCTTCTCCCAATAGGCCCCACCCACTGTTCTCCGCCAAATTGTTCATTCCCCTGGTCTCATGACCCACGGTGTTCAGCCCCAATACTCATCCAACTGTGCTTAACCCACCCCACTCCTGGGGTTCTACGTGAGGCTCCGCCATTCTCCCTGTGCTCAGCCCTTATGCTCACCCACATGTGGTTAGACCTCCCCACTCCTCTTCTTCTATATCAGACTCCGCCATTCTCCCTATCTTAAGACACTACTCCTTCGATTAACCCCTCCAGTGTGCTCAGACCCTCTTTCTGTGTTCAATCGTTCCACTGTGACCAGTGCGTCCTGTGGGCTCAGCCACGCCACTCGGCTCGGCCCGTACGCTGGACTCAGACACTCGCCCTGTGCACAGTCCCTCCCCCTATGCTCAGTCCCTGTCTCTGTGCTCAGTCCCTCCACTATGATGAGCCCCTCCCCCTGTCCTCAGACCTCCTCCCCTCCGCCCCCATTGCTCAGCGCACTAACACGCCCACTGTACACAGCCGAACCCTCTTATTAGTCCTCCTGCAGCGATCTCCCCTGCCACTGTGCTCCGCTCCCCCGGTACTCAGCCCTCCGTATGTTCTCAGTTCTCCCCCTCCAGTGAGCCAAACCAATGTTATCAGCCCAGCCCCAAGAGATCACGCCTTCTTGCATTCAGCACTAGTAATTGTGTACAGTCTGGTGCTCACCGATTCTGTGCCAGTCTCGTTGCCCCTCACCTTGCGCTCCAACCATGTACCCCACAACTGTACTCCCCCTACTGTGCTCGCCCTCGTCTCCTTTCCCCCACTATGCTCATTCAGCCTGTCGTCACCTCACTATGATGCCCCCACCTGTGTTCACCTCCAAGTATTCAGTCTCTCGCCTTCCTCATCTGTTCTCAACACTCCCGCAAGATCCTCATCCATCCTTTACTCATTGACCCCTTGGCAAACTCGAATTTGCTCAAACATCTGTTCTCATCGCTGTTTGTTCAACCTTCCTCTGTGCTAAAACATTGTGCTCACTGTCTAACCTCTATGCTCACCATCAAAGCTCAACCCTAATGTTCACTCCACCTGTGCTCAACAACACCGTGTGCTCACCATCCTGTGCACTTTCTACATGCTTCACGACTTTGCACATCTCCACTGCTTCAGCAATGTGATTACCCTGCTGTTTTCACCCGCCTTTGCTGCTCTCAATAAAGATGACTTTCACTGGGCTAACCACGTTCCCTTCGTTGCGCCCCTCTGTGTTCATCCACCTGTGATTAGCCCACTTTCCTCTTCCTGTACTGTGATCATCTCCTTGTCTTGACCCCCTATTCTCAACCCCATCGAGCATCCCCTCTTCTCACCCCTCCCTGTGCTCAGCCCGTGTTCTTATCTCTCTGTGCTGACAGCCCCTGTGCTTCCGCATTTGTGT